TTATTTATTTTTAGAGAGGGAAGGGAGGGAGAAAGAGAAAGAGAGAGAAACATCAATGTGCGGTTGCTGGGGGCTGTGGCCTGCAACCCAGGCATGTGCCCTGACTGGAAATCAAACCTGTGACACTGGTTGGCAGCCTGCCCTCAATCCACTGAGCTATGCCAGCCAGGGCGGAAAGTTATTTTTTTAAATATATGAATTGTCATTTGGGGTTGGGAGTGGAGCAAAGGGGTAAATTGTCTCTTTTTTGTGTATTCCTGTATTTTTCAAATACTATTACAAGTGTGGATAATATAAAAGTATCACTTATTAAATTATAAAAATCTGAAAAATACATGACTTTTCTAAAGAAAGCGAGGCACATAACATGTAGAAATTCATGTTCTCACCTTAATAAAGAATACAATTCCTTGTGCCATGTTTAGGAATATTGGCATTTTCAGTGGTCATTGTTCTATGCAACAATAATAAAATAAATATGTAACAATAAATAATATATTTGTAGTAATAATTCTATAATAGAAATTATAACATAATTTTTTTAAAATTCTATGATTCAACAATAATTTTATATGTTATGCAATAATTCAATACTAAATTTATAAAAATAAATATATAATATCTCTACACAATACATTTAACAATACATTTAATTAATTAATTAATTAATTGAAAATAAACATAACTGACCCTGGCTGGGTGGCTCATTTGGCTAGGGCATTGTCCCATAAACCAAAAGGTTGTGGGTTTGATTCCCAGTCAGGGCACATTCCTAGGTTGTGTATTTGATCCCTGGGTTCAGGGTGCATACAGGAGGCAACGTATCTCCCTCTCTGCCTCACTCTCTCTTCCCCTCCCTTCCTTTCTCTCTAAGGTTAATATTGAAAATACCCTCAGGTGGGGATTAAAATAACAATAATAACAAAAAAAACATGGTTAGTCAGGGATAAAAGTTCTGCCAGCCTGCCTACACACAATCTTAAAATCACTATGTAATTTATAAATTCCCATATTTCATCACACTAAAATAAGAGAACATTATATCCTACTTTCTAAGTGGCCAGTAAGTCTCAAAATTACCCTTTTTTGGAACTTTCTTCTTTTCAAAAGGGCATTGATAATTATTTCAGTTTGTTAAGACTGGTATATTTCAGTTTGGGATATTGGAGAAGCTCACTCCACGTAAGTCATTGTTTCCACCAAGTACTCCACATTCTATTTATTTATTTACCTGACATGTGATCAATGTATATATACCACCTATTTGAAATAGTTCTGTATACTGAAAATACAACAATAAATAAGTCACATAATATTGTTTTCCTGGTAGAGATTTTATTCTTATGGGGAAACAGGCAATGTATGGTAATGATTTAAATTACATAGATAGGTATATGGAGATAAATTGGACTAGAGATTAGATAGGTAGATATAGATAGACAGACACACAGACAGACATTCAGGCAGACAGATGGTTGTATAGGTTCCATAGAAGCATAAAGCATGTTCGAGAACAGAAGAAGCTGTGTAATAGTGAAATGAACAGAGAGAGATTAGGCAGTAAAATATGTCTGAATCAAAATGTATCACAGAGCTAAATATAAAATGTAAAAATATAAAACTCATAGAAGAAAACATAGAAGCATATCTAGATGATCTTGGGTTTGCTGATGATTTTTTAGATATAACACCAAAGGCACACTACACTCCTGCTAGAAAGGTCAATATCCCAAATGCTGACAACACCAAATGCTGGGGAGGGTGTAGAGCAATTGGAAATCATTGCTGGGGAGAATGTAAACTGGTACAGTCACTGTAAGAGACAGTTCAGAGGTTTCTTTTGTATGGTGTGTATGCATGTGTGCATGCATATATATGTGTGCATGTATGTATGTACATATTGAGTTGGCCAAAAAGTCTATATGGCTTTTTCCATAAAATAAGAGACACATTTTTTATTTTTACCAATAACTTCATTGATTTGAATGTTTTGACTATGTCAGCTATCTGTGTTACACCATATGTTGTAACAGGGATGGTTCTGAACTATGTCTCGATTTGATCACTATCACTTCAACCGTGGAGCATTGTCCAGCAAGAACTCTCCATCACAAAACTTCCCAAACTACTTTCACATGTCCAATCAGTCACAGCACCTTCTCCATACACTGCACAAATCTTTTTCGTGTGTTTTTACCTTTCTTGAAATAATAAATCATAATATGCCAAAAATTTTGTGTATTTTCTTCCATCTCCAATATTAAAATGGCTACACAAAAATTCACCAATTTTGATAAGTTTTTTAAATGTATGCTGATATGACAACTGTCACAATACAATCTAACAAAATTGTTTTGGATGACGACAAGTAAGCGCTAGTAGAGCCATCTTATGAAAGGAAAAAAAAAAGAACTCTTTGGCCAACCCAATATATGTGCGTATGTATCTGTATATTTGTTTGTGTATTTTTACATACCAAAAAGATATATATGTTTAACATATATAATTGATGACTTGATGAGTTTGAGATAAGTATACACCTGTGAACCCATCTCCCCAATCTATGCCATAAACATACCTCATAATCTCCACTTAAGGTGCTTTTTGGGGTTCCAAGTAAGGTATAATGGCTGATTGGACTTCTAGTGTGGAAGTGGTAGATACAAAGTAAATAGAATATTTCAAATATTTGGAGGTAGTCAGAACTTACTGAAAGACAAGCAGAATGAAGAAAAAAATAATTATGAATGACCCACACACAAATTTTGGATTGAGTCACAGGTTAGTTTTTAGTTTCAGTTATTGAGCTGGTGAAAACTTGGGGGCAACCAGGTTTGGATGGATGGGTGTCTTTTCTTTGTGACATGTTAATTTCGAGATACCTGGAAGATAGTCAAGTAGTTGCTTTAATTTAAAATCTGGACATATGAATTTAGAGCTGAATGGATTAGTCAGTGCTGGCTTAAAATACAGAATTCAACAGCATAAGAATGGGGTATAAATAGATAAAAATGGGTGGAATAACTTAAAAAATATATACAGAGAAACGGGACAAGAATAAAAAGACTGCTATTGGAATTGGCTACATGGACATTCTTGGTGACTTTGGTGCATTTCAGTAGGATGGTCAAGGCAGAAACAATTTTTTTCACTATGAGTTAAATTTGAATCTAAAACATGACTTTTGAATATCATATAAGAGAGGAATCTTAAGAGTTTTTTTTTTTGAAAGGAAAAAAGATTTAAAATGATTCCCTAACTCCTCAGAGAGGTACTAACCTCTTTTCAGAGAAGTTTAAAATTCTGAACAATTTTATAAGCAGATAGAGACTGAGGACTCTCCTGAAAAGGAGCGAGAAGAACTATGGGGCAGGATTTGACTCTGGCATTACAGCTCTTATGACTGACTCAGTCAGCAAGGCAGGACCTCCTGGAAAACCATGAGATACAAGGACCATTAATCCTTAAGTAGGTAATGTTAAGTAGGGGCAGCAGCCAATGTATAAAGAGCAGGCAAAACAATTTTACCTCTCATTTTACAGAAAGCTAGTTCTTGAGAGCATGTGGGCTGGAAGCTTCTTCCTTTATTATCAAGCTTTCTCTTGCATCCACATTTTATGGTGTCAAGATAAAGGAGGAAGAAAATTGCTTAGAACATTCTGCAACAATGTCGAGTTTATCTAAGAGAATGCTTTAAATAGGAAGAGATTTAATTGTCATTAATTGGGAAATTCAAGGGTTTGCATTTTTTTAATTATTTATTTTATTTTTTATTATTTTAATCATTGAAAGTTGCATTTTTATTATGTTGAATTTTTCCACATTAATTGGACTTATGGTCACAAGAAAATTTAATATAGTTATGAAAATATAAAGTTAATTGTTTTCCTATATAAATAATATGTAGATATCTCACTGTGTTAGACTCTGAATGCTGCTTAATTTGGTTATCTGTATGTATTTAGCAATTTATCAAGAACCTATTTAATACACCTCACTTAAATTTACTCAGGTTAGTGATTTGGGAAATAATGAAATAGAGATAAGTTAGCCACCATTTTCTATTTAAAAGAAAGAAACACTTATGATAAATAATTGTTAAAGTTATAACATACCATCAGGCAATCTCTTCTCCCTCATGAAAAATAATTCTTCCCTTAACTTTTTCATTAATCTTCATTTATGTGGTGTTTTCACCAAATTCTTCAAATTTTTCTTAAAATGAGAAAGTTTAAACTTGATAAAATGCTAGCCAAAACCTAATCAGCAGATTACAGAGATTTTATTAAAATGGTGTCAATTTAAACCTATAAATTAATTCAATTGTTTAATTCATTTTGGCTTAAAATAAAATAAAACTAACTTACCAACTGTGTTTAACCTTGCAGGAAGAGGAACTTCATTCAACATTCATGAGCCTGGTTGTAGCTATTTACACTTTAGAGATGGTGGTACAGTTTCCCAAGAAAGTGACAATATTCTTTTCTTTTTTTTTGAGGAACATTACTTTTAATTTGAATTTATATTTATTTGAAAGTAGACTTTCTGAAATTTGTTTGACTTCTTCTCATGACCCCTATGGTTTTATATTTAAATCTGTGGCTGTAACTTCAAATTGCTTGAAACAATGGGCTCAACATCTGCCTTCTTGAATTGTATCAAAGCCTTCATCAATTTTTTCATACTTATAGATTCAGTATCATTAACTTCTACATCCTGCATGAATTTTTTTAATCTTTCTAGGGATCTTTCATTTAATCCTTTATCTCTCCAAATTTATCATAAGTATGCTTCAAGTCCTTCAATGGATCATCTGTTAATTTTTTTTAACATCTTTCTTATATTTTTATGAAGATTTCCTGTCTTTTTTTGTACTGCTCTTTGCCTCATTTTTTAAAGTATTTGATTAAATATTTGAACCCACTCTCTTCACTCATAGATTCAGTTTCAGACTCTTAAAGCTTTCTCAGCAAATATGATTTTGAATCATTGTCCAATGCCTACTTGCCCTTCTTTGATTCCTTCTTTGATTCCTTCTTTGGTTCCTTCTTTGATTTCTTCTTTGATTCCTTCTTGGAATCTTTCTTTGCATCCTTCACATCAGCAGATTCTGGGTCAGCATCTGCTTTGACATCTTTCTTGGAACTTTTCTTGGCATCTTTCTTGGACTCTTTCTTACCCTTTGATTCATCACCTTTTTCACTGGATTTTGTTGTATCTTTTTCCTCATCTTTATCCTCTTTTGCGTCTATTGTTGCATCTCCAGATTCTACAGCTGACTTCTTGCCCTTCTTTGAACTTTTATCTCTTCGGGGTTCCTTTGTGTCTCCTTTTTCCTCTTCAGAGTCTGTAGTTGACCCCTTGCTTCTCTTTGAACCTCTATCTTTTTTGGAGGCTTTCTTTGTGTCTCCTTTTTCCTCTCCAAATTCTACAGCTGACCCCTTGGTTTTCTTTGAACCTTTATCTTTTTTGGAGGCTTTCTTTGTGTCTCCTTTTTCCTCTTCAGATTCTGTAGTTGACTCCTTGCTTCTCTTTGAACTTCGATCTCTTTTGGAGGCTTTCTTTGTGTCTCCTTTTTCCTCTCCAAATTCTACAGCTGACTCCTTGGTTTTCTTTGAACCTTTATCTTTTTTGGAGGCCTTCTTTGTGTCTCCTTTTTCCTCTTCTGATTCTGTAGTTGACTCCTTGCTTCTCTTTGAACTTCGATCTCTTTTGGAGGCTTTCTTTGTGTCTCCTTTTTCCTCTTCAGATTCCGCAGGTGACCCCTTGGTTTTCTTTGAACCTTTATCTTTTTTGGAGGCTTTCTTTGTGTCTCCTTTTTCCTCTTCTGATTCCGCAGGTGAACCCTTGCTTCTCTTTGAACTTCTATCTCTTTTGGAGGCTTTCTTTGTGTCTCCTTTTTCCTCTTCAGATTCCACAGGTGACCCTTTGCTTTTCTTTGAACCTTTATCTTTTTTGGAGTCTTTCTTTGTGTCCCCCTTTTCCCCTTCTGATTCTGAACCAGACCCCTTACCCTTCTTTGAACTTTTCTTATGTTTTTTTGAGTCTTTCTTTGTGTCTCCTTTTTCACCTTCTGATTCTGTTTCTGAGCTCTTACGCTTTTTTGTACTTCTCTTATCTTTTCTGTCACCTGGTTTTACACTGTCTGTTTTTTCGTCTTTTGTTTCTGTTTCTAAAGCCTGCTCTTTCTTTGAATCTTTCATAGATTTTTTTGACTCTCGTGAGTCTGTGGATTCAGCTACCAAATCTAATTTGTCCTTGTCTTCTTTGTCTCTCTTACTCTCTACACTGGGGCGATGAGTTGCTTTATATAGAGGCTGTCTCCTGGCAGCTAAATAAACTGATGGTCTTTCGGAAATCTTCATTAAAGACTGGTGCATCCATAACGGTCGTCTAGAACCTCCCGTTAATTGGTCTTCATCATATTTCTGAAATATTAGTTAGAATAATGATAAATAGTGTGTATGAGTTACACAGACTTTGTTACCAAATACCAAAATATGTTTTAACTTCAATAATGAAAATATTTTAGATTTTAATAAATGGCAAATAAACTAGATTTTATAGTAAATTTTTGCTTTTTCAATTTTATTCTTTTTGAACTAACTGCTAGACATGTCTGTCTAACTTCAATTTAGAGTATTTTCATAACTCCTATATTACTGTATGTTAAAGTTGATACAGACATTCACTTACCAATGACATACCAGAAACTCTTCACAAGCTGGAAAAGGCTTTTTTTTTTTTTTTTTTGACTCTGTGTTTTGAATTCTTGAAACATCTTGCCTAGCCTCCATTCTAAGACAAACTTGGAAACTAATTATTTTCTAATATCTAATAGTTTTCTGTTCAGGCAGATCCTGGTCTCTGCTGGTACATTCAAGGTCTCTGGAACTTACAATGCTAAAGGTGGTTAAAAGTAAAAGCCTGAAAATCATCCTGCATGGCAAGATATAAATTACCCTCACTTAGAAAACTACAGCAATGAAAACTGTAACATTCAGTGCACAGTAATTTGTGTAGAATGGTGCATTTTGTTTTCAACTTGTGACCAAATATTTGCAAAAACTTAATTGCAAAAAATAGGAAATCTTGGAAGGAATGTTAACAAATAGTGGGAAAATAAATTGAAAAAGAAGAAAAGAAAACATGAGGAGGCAGCAGAAACCTGGATCAGTACAGATTGGATACATTTCCTAGAATAAACAAGAGTTGATGATACATTTATCTTGTGAAAACTTTTCTTTCAACATTTTTATATCCCATGATGACTTCGGAAACCTTGGGAAATATTTATCTTCCAAATTCAGAATCCTGAATTCTAAATTACAGGAAATGAGGAGGCATTGAAACTTCATCAAAGTATAATGATTCAAGTGATGGGATTTCTCTAGCTGGGGAATATTTTTTAAATGTTTATACTAACTGTGGCATTAAGATCTACAGATTTCTGTGCTCTTGGATACATATTTTCTATAATGTAGGTTTACTGAGCAAATAGTTAATGTGAAATAAAGGAGAAATTTTTATACAGTGAAATGCAAATAAAATACATTTACTTTCTCTAAGTAGTAGAATTTGAATTACCTTTAACTTTACTGTTTCATATGACATTTAAGAGCCACATGTGGAATCAAATTGAATTGAAATATAAAACTCAGTTCCTTAGTGACACTAGCCATATTTTTTGTTCAGTAGGTACATTGATTGGCAGGCAAAGAAATAAAGTATTTCCATCATCACATATATCTTATTGGTTGGTGATGATCTATTAAGACATATAACTATATATGATTTTACAGGTTTATAACTAGGGAAATTATATGATCTTAATACTTACAGAAACTGTATTATCTTGTAATTGGGAAGGTCTTGATCTTATTTTTCTTCCTGGCCGCATTGGTTTGGGAAATTCTAGGGAAAAGTGTTGTTGATTCCATGATTTTTTGCTTAATTCACTGACTAAAATAAGAAAACATTAAACATACACTTTAGAGTAAGTAGTATTTCATCAAAACTAATAAGGCAGTTAGCTATTATATTTCATGTAAATAAATAAACAAATGATTAAATTTTTGTCTTCATTTATTTGGCAATATTTGAAATTCTCTACTATTACTATGAGAAAACAAAAATTGATTTTTCTATTCTTCCCAACTTTATAGAAAACTACATGAAGTTGTGATTGTAAAACTAATATAGTTTGTAAGATAAATGGAGATAAACCATTTTACTGCTTCCCTTTAGATTTTCTATCTAAACTAGTCTAGATTTTTGTTTTATACTCTTTTGGTTAGAATACAGTTATACTGAGAACAGAAAACATGGTAACTACTTTCGAAGCCTTCAAAGTAATTAGTACAGTGCCTGTTATAAAATGTTCAGGAAATATAGGATTGACTCTCAATGCTAATGTTTTAGATCAGTGATTTTTAACCAGCAATCCACAGCAGGCAGCAGATGTGCTGCAAGAAATGTTAAAACATGCAATACCTAAATATTTAGTCAGGGGCACTGTCCTCTTTTCCCTTAGATTGTCAATTAAGAAAACGACAAGAGTCATCACAACAGCAGCTGTTGAGTATGAATGAATCAAAGTTATGCCTTTTTTGTCAGATAGGCAAAAAATATGTTTTTTGGTCTGTGGCAGAATTGTAGTAATTAGTTTATGTGTGCCATGATACGAAAAAGGTTGAAAATCGCTACTTTAGATCGCCTTAGTTTAAAATCAATTTCCAAGCTACAAAAGTAGATGTCATGTACCTAAGAACTGCATTGTTAGAGGTGGCACAAAGAAATTGACAAATAAAGAGTACCTATAGAACTGTGACTGGGAGTCTAAAGTTACCTGCAAACTATAATGGAAATAAAGACATTTAGCTTGCCAATGGGACAAGTGAGAGAGGTACCTGCATTGTGTTTGAATGTGTGTGGTAATACTGTGTGTAAGTGAAAATAGCCTTGTCCTGTGAATCTCCTAAAGATGGAAGCAAGAGCAATGAGAAAATACATAGAATGAAAGGCATATTTAACATCAGTATATGAGGGAATGTTTAACATCACTGTGAGGGAAAATTGCTTGATGTATGAAGTCTTCCAATACAAGTTTGCCTGGCCTTGTCAAGCAATGAATTTTTTTAGCCAATTTAAACCCTGATAAAATCTATTAAAATGTAATAGAAGGCATTTCTAACATGGGTGAGAAGTGATTTATCCAATTTTTACACTGCCTTTAATTGTAAGATTATGTGATTGAATGATTTCTAACATATCAATGTCCACCTTCATGGTTCTATACATATTTGCTTAATCTTCTTTGGATTTAGAACCAAAATATCTCTAGAAAATATTCACTGAGCCCATGAAAAGGGTATCTTGGAAAATAAAGTGTTGATTTTTAATAATATTCCATGATAGCTATTGCCTTAATCACACTTTGAATGGAAAATAATTGCTTATCCCTAAAATTAATCATCCATGTTTTAAAAAATATATATATTAAATTATTTCTTACCTGGAATATAATTATCTTGTGCCCCAAAGTTTACTTTTTGGCTGTTAAAATCAGAGGGAAAGGTTTTAATTAATTTATACAAAAATCACTCTATTAATGATCATTAGTATGCCCATGCACTTGCCATCATCAACTAGAGAAATACTTTGCATGCTCAAATGTCTATCATTACGTAATATTATTTGGTCTCAGAGATGAGAATATGTTTGTGTTTGTTTTTAGAACAAACCTCAACAGAGCTAAAACAACAGGAATAAAATATAAGAAAAAAACCCTATTAACTTTTCATATCTAAAAGACATTTTTGAAATTTTGAAACCATGATTGAATTCATTTCCCTACCTCATGCTCCAAATGTCCTTCCAACTGAATTTTCATTGAGATAGCACTTTGAAAACATTATGCATAAGTGAAACCAGATTCTCAAAATATTTTCAGACTTAACTAAATCCAGATCATTCAATGACATATGTATGTGTGTGAGTGTGTTTATGTGTATGAGTGAGTCAGTATGTATCACAATATTGACATGAATTTTAATTTTTCTTTTGTTCTCTATAAAATCTGAGAAGTAAAATTATGTTGCAAAGTATTCTCAAATTATATTTCCATTTGTTTTATTACTAAATGGACATATTTGTCTCCACAAAGTTAGTTTCAGTCTACTTTTTATATGGAGGCAAATATTATAATTTATTAGAGAAATATTATTCTACTTTTTCCCATTACAAAAATAGAGTCATTGTTGGCCTTACACAAACACACACAAAATCAAACACATGGTTATCCAGTATTTTACTTATTTTGACATAAGTATAAATAATGAATTACATTTTTACAGGGTATCTTGATAACTACATGAAAGCTTTAGTCCTCAGCAAAATATCTGACACATTTTAAAATTTATCAGTCTTTAGAAATTTTGAATGAAATAATTGAATAAAATTAGGGTGTGTTGACCTGGTCATATGCTGTTTTTTTAAAATCTGAGGACGTGCATTAAAATCATTTGCCCCACTATTGCTGAATCTCTAGTTTTGTACCTAACCAACATATGATTATACATTTTTAAGAAAATTTGATGTACAACCATGGTTATGAACTACTCTGTTCTAAATGCTCTTAAAGATTACATATTTCAGGTTTATGAAACAATAGTATTAAATTTAAGATTTAAAAGTATTACATAGGTATGGTCCATTAATTTCTTGTATAATCTCTAGTTCATATTGTCTGGTCACCAGGCAATTGACTTAGAAATCAATAACAAAATTACAGAAAAAATACACAAAAATTGGACAGTAAGGAAGGCTGATAGAAGAAAAAATGATTCATTTGAAATATGGTGTTAGAGGCAAACTCTTACAGATACCTTGGGCTGTCAAAAAGACAATCAAGTGAGTCCTAGAGCAAATGAAGCTTGAAACACAGCTGGAGGTAAAAATGACAAAACTGAGGCTGTCCTCCTCTAGGCACGTTGGGAGAAGGCAGGGTTTTTTGGAAAAGGCAATAATGCTGGTGGGAAATAGAAGGCAACAGGAAAAGAGGAAGACCAAATGTGAGATGGATTGACTCCATAAGAGGAGACACTGAAATGAGTCTCCAGGAGCAGAGCAGGGCTGTTGAGTATACGACATTGTGGATATCACTCATTCATTCAGTCTGCAGAAGTCTCAGCCAATGTCAATGTCATGTAACAGCACAAATATTTGAAAAGTAAGGAGTTCCTTCTAAAGCAGTGGTCAAATAGAAATCACGATATATACTTATTTAAAAAACGACTGAACAATAATATATTGAAAATTGTGGGTTACTACTTATAATTCATACAGTAGAGTTTATAGCTTTAATTCCTTATGAAAAGTTTAAAATCAATGTTCTAAATCTCTGCCTAAAAATTAGAAAAATATTGAATTAAAGTTAAAGGGAGGGAGTTATTGATCTATAAGCCAAAATCAATGAAAGAGAAAATAAAATGAGAGAAAACTTAAAATTGTAAAACTTGGGATTTTTATAAAAGATTATTAAAATGGGTTAAGCTCTAGAAAGACTGATGAAGGATAAGAAAAAACACATTACCAATATTAGGACTAATGTAGGATTTATAAATATATAGATTTTGAATAATAATGAGGAATGTCATTAACAACTTCATGACAATAAATTCAACAAGTGAAATAGATGAGCTCCCTTTGAAACTCAGCTTGTTTATAAAAACTGGTACATGATGAAATAATAAAAATGTGAGTAGCTCTATAATTATTATGTTAATTCATTATCAAACAGAAAAACAGAGGCTCACAGCATTTTACTAATAAATTAAATGAAAAATTTAAGGAAAAATATTGCACATAAGTTTTTCAGAAACAAGAAGGAAAATGATATTTCAACTCATTTTTTGAGACCAATATAAATAACCCTAACCTTCTGAACCTCTCAGACATTACCAGAAATAACTGTTATAAACCAATAAACCGTACTAACCCAGACACAAAAATTCCTTAACAACTTATTAACTAATCTTATCAAACAATATATAAAATGGCTAATGCATCATGGCCATTGAAATTTACTCTCTGGAATGTAAGGTTGGTTTCACATGTATACATCAACCACTGCAATCACTCTAAATATAAAAATAAGAATTTATCTGATCATCTCAGAACACATAAAAGAGATTTTGGAGAAAAAAAGTAACATTTGTCTATAATTAAAAACTCTGAGAAAACTAGGAATAAAATACATCTCCCTCAAATGGATAAAATGGGATTAGATAATACTATTATAATGAAATCTAATGGTGGAATAGCGACCATTTTTTTCTCTACAAATCAGAAGCGAGGTGAGGATGCTCAGCCTGCTGTTCAACATTGTAATCCAAAACTGTTTTGTTTCATCAAGTAATAAAAGCATCAAGATTGGAAAGGAAGAAATAAAATTGTTTTTACTCACAAAAGACCTGATTGAGTAAATAGACTATCCAATGACATCTACAAATATTATTATTTAGCACTCTTATGTGTATGTAGCAAAATTATATGATACAAAGGTTAATTATAAACTTTATATAAAATTATATATCTGTGACTAGAAAATGGGGAGATATAAATTTAAGAAAACAATATAGTTTACAATAACATAAAAATATAATTTTTTAATGAATTCTTTTTTTAAAGATTTTATTTACTTATTTATTTATTTTTAGAGAGGGAAGGGAGGGAGAAAGAGAGAGAGAGAGAAACATCAATGTGCGGTTGCTGGGGCCTGTGGCCTGCAACCCAGGCATGTGCCATGACTGGGAATTGAACCTGCGATGCCTTGGTTCGCAGCCTGCACTTAGTCCACTGAGCTACACCAGCCAGGGCTACAATAACATAAAAATATTTAGAAATAAATTTAAAAATATAGGCAAGACCTGTATAGGAAAACTAAAAATTTTTACCAGGGGAAAATATTCTGATTAGAAGATGCCCTTTATACCCACTAAAGCAGAAAAACTAAAGATTAATGACATCAACAGTCAGCAACTTGTAGACCTTCTCACATGTTCAGTGTTGGTGGTGGGTATAAAAATGATACAACCATTTTGGACGACCATGTGATTTTTTTAAAAAAAGTTACATATGTCCTATGTATGAATAATAATTTCCACTATGACTTTACTTAAGAAAAGTCTACAAAAGAATTGGAAAAAATATGTATAGCAGCTTTATTCACAATAACATCAAACTAAAGTAACTCAAATATCCATCATCAGGAGAATGCATAAACTGTGTTATATTCATGTTAATGACATACTTCTCAGTGACCTGAAGGAATGATTTACTGATATATGCAATATGGCAACATGGATAAATCCAATATTATACTGAAAGAAAATATCAGAGACATAAAAGCATATACTGTATGATATAACTTCCATGAATTTTAAGAACAGGCAAGATTGTTTCAGGTCACATAACAGCTATTTGTGGGAGGAGGGCAAAGTGGGTTGACTGGACACTGGTACAGTGTAACCTCATGATGTGGTTGACGATGCCTGTTTCTTAAGGTTGGTTAGGATAGTGTTAGTGACAATTCAATATATTTAGATCTCTTTCATTTTTATTGAGAAGAGCTTATAGGACATCCAAATAACAATGATCCACATACCTTTATGTAAATTCACATATGTCATAAGCACTTATTAATCTTTTGGACTAGAGAGTATTTTCCCACTCTTTCCTCTAAGTCTTGTTCTGCTGGTGACAGCATCTCTCCTTTGCTTCTCTGGGACATTCAAGAAATTTTCTAGAACCAGAATGTATTTAGATGCAATTTTTGAAATTTCTTATTTAAGAAAAACAACTGTTTGTGTATCTTTTATTATTTTTTCTTTTGAAGTCATTTTATATGAATATATATTTATTTTCATTCTTTTAAAATAAATCCCTTGAGATTCTGAAGATGGTGTAATTTACTCTAAAATGAAGAAAAATGCAACACTTATGTCAAAAGTTGTTTGATACAATGAGTTCCTGAATTAAGGTCTCTGGACATACTATAAAGAAACACATAGCTAATACTTCATCTTATCTAAAATGAAATGGCATACATAGTTACAAGTCTGCCTTCCCTTCAGGTAGAAAATTCAATCACTTTAAGAAGTCTCAGTATCCTGTGAGGTTTTTTAAGTAATGAAGATATTCGTTGTCAGCTTTCTGAAATGTGGTGTGTTAATGCCTTAGTAAGGGAAGCTAGATTTTGGTTTTCCTCACTAAAAAGCTGAGATCCCAAAGTTGGAGACATGGGGAACTTTATTATTTAGGAGAAAAACCCATTCCTGAATAACCAATGAAAAAAAATAAGGTATAAACATTTAACCACCTTTGTGTTGTTTTGTTTTTATTTTTGGTCTGAAAACTTTTCAGTTTATTTGACATTATATTTTATTGATTATGCTATTACAGTTGCCCTGACTTTTCCCACTTGGATCCCCTCCACCCAGCACCCCCACTCCCTCAGGCAATCCCCCCACTCTTTTCATGTCTGTGGGTCATGTATGTAACTTCTTTGGCCCCTCCCTTTCGTATACTCTACTTTACATCCCCGTGGCTATTCTGTAACTATTTGTACTTCTTAATCCCTTCACCTCTCACCCATTCTTCCACAGCCACCCTCCCATCTCTTTATCTTTAACCTTTGGCTAAAACCTTTTTAGCTTTATTTTATTATTTTATTTATTGTTCAATTACTATTCTCTCCATTTCCCCCCATGACTCCCCTGCCCTATGAAACCTAACCCCCACCTTCCACTTTCAATCCTCCTCACCAACCCCGTTGTCTTTGTCCATGAGTCCTTTGGTAT